GCACTTTTGTCAAAAATACGCAATCATAAGTTTTACCGTAGTTTCTATGAGACTTGATCAAATCAAACGTTTTTATTTGTTTGTTTACCAACCATATTGGAAATGAGTAATTGACGTTTTTCCAAAAATTCCCAGATTTTCGGAATTTCCCATTTTCATGAATCATGATAATTTCTTCATGGTTACCAAATGCAATTTGTACGCATTTTTTACGGTATGCGTAAATAGAAATACTAAATAGAAACCCATGAATCTATACTATGTTAAACAATACATTTAAGCACACTTAAAATAGTGAGTTTAAAAAGCGGAAATAATTAACAGTTTTAACGCAAATCCTGTCCCGTCATATGTTCTGCGTAAAATTGAGCTTGTGAAAAATCAGGATTTTCCCGTGGTGAGAAAACCCTTCGGGCATAAACTGCTCACAGACAAATGTCCCATGCCATAAAAAAAAATTTAAGTTTTAATAAAAATCTTACAGCATGATATTTTATGACAAATTAATTTTATAAAATATTTTTAAATTTTTTTTTTTATTTCTTCCGCCCCGAGGCAGGGAAGACACGTTAGTGTAGATAGATAAATAGATGACGAGATAGATAGATACTTATTAGAGGATAGATACTAAATAGATAGATAGATAGTTACTAAATTTTAAATAGATAGATAGCTACTAAATAGATAGATAGATAGCTACTAAATAGATAGCTACTAAATAGATAGATACTAAATAGATAGATACTAAATAGAAAGATACTAAATAGATAGATGCTAAATAGATAGATACTAAATAGATAGAAACTAAATAGATAGATACTAGATAGACATATACTAAATAGATAGATACTAAATAGATAGATACTAAATAGATTGATACTAAATAGAAAGAAAGAACGCTAGAAAGTTAAATACTTTGATACAAGATACGAGCTTTAAGAGAACAGATCAGCAAGAAGCCACAGAGATAGATTCAGATATCTATATTATATTGTCGATAGACAGACAGACAGACAGATAAACGAATAGATAGAAGAAAAAGAAGAAAAAAGCAAAAAAAAATGATTTATGGAGAAAAAAATCTATTTAATAAAATACAAGCAAGTAGAAAATTTGTAATATTTTACAGATACAAAAGCAGCTCGGTCTCTTTCAATGTCAGTTGAAATAAACTGATAAAAATCCAAGAAAAAAAAAATTTCTTAAGAAAGTTTAATCTATTTCTTTCAAATGTGAAATATGAGTTTGAATAAAATTTGACAAGTTTTAAAAATGTGATTTCGCACATTTAGCTTCAATATAATATACTTATATAACAATTTGTATGCATATATTAAAAATAGATATTGATAACGTGTTGCTTAGCTGAAAGTTTAAATGAAATATTTGCATATAGTGTAGGTGTAACACCATACCAGACTTTTAGAAGCGGTTGTGGAAAACTTTGAAATTGTGACCGACATTGCAAGATTACCGTATTCCCCCCAAAAAAATCTTTTCCCCCCAAAATCTTTAAATTTTTATAAACAGTTTGATTAACTCAAAAGTAATTATTTTTCCATGATTTAGATGATTTTTAGGATCTGCACAGGGGGGGG